TTGTTGTCTACGATATAATGTTATTTTTCTAATTCATATTCAATTGTTATCGTTGAGAGCGAGAGGGAGAGAGAGGGTGAGAGAAAGCGTGTGTATGTGTGTGTGTGTGTATGTGTGTGTGTGTGTGTGTGTGTGTGTGTGTGTGTGTGTGTGAGAGAGACAAAACGCGAGGGCACACACGAGCATTTTTAGGAAAAAAAAAGAAGAAAAAGGAAAAAGAAAAAATCGACGTGAGAAAAGAACGTAGCAGGCGGCCGCTGTAAGCGTAAATCCGTACGTCATCTGCACCCTTTACTCCCGATGGTACTTCCGGCACGGCTGCCATTCCTTCCGATCGTTCGTTTACTGCGTCATCGTAATTTCTGTTTCAGTTTCCCCCTTTTTTACTTGGATTTAGATTCGGATTGAAGTTCTCCTTTTTTTTTTTTCTTTCATTTGGATTTAGATTTGTACGATGTATCTTTGTATCGATGAGTATTTATTGATTGATTTTAAAAGTCGAGTTCTGTTACTGACAAAATCCGATGGCCGCTGACCGATTCAGTTGAAAGCGGTCTGAATATAAAATACACGAGACGCAAAAATGACTGATAAAGTATATATATTACATTCGCAGCGGACAGCGAAAATTACTTTAGTAAATAATCAGTTACAATTTATTGGTAACGAACCAAATTAAACAATCGATCGGAATTTGATTAACGAGTTGGCGAATCAAATTGTAATCGCAATTAACAATATTAATATTCATTATCAGAACGTTCAAATATTCTCCACCAGTATGAAAATAGACGCCTTTTCAGGTATTTTGCCCAATTTAACAAAAAACATGCAAAATGAAATTACGCAACATCATCTCAATTTTCAATGAAATTTTCGGAACACGTAGTACAATCGAGTAGAAAATTGCCAGAATGAACATCCACCGGTTTGGACTGACCAATGATAGATTTCACTACTTTCTCTCACAATTAAACCGCATCTTATAACATCTAACTAAGAAAAGAATATCTAATCTGCACAAATATTATCGTCATTCATTTACCCTCGATCTAATTATCGCTCAGTTTATTTTTCATTAAACTGGCTTCGTAGTTTACAAAAAGAAAAATGGAGAAAGAAAGAGTCGAAGAGAAGAAACTCGACGAAATGATTTATTTCTCGGGACAAATGTCGTGCAGCAGGAACGACGATCGATGAATCGATGGCCGCTGAGGGCAAATTGATAGATCAACCCCTTCTCCTCCCCTTAACCCCTCTCCCGGCCCTGAGCTTTCGTAGACGGATGGTGCGAGGCGAAACAAAAGCGGTAGCGACGCGTAATTAGCAAAGGGACGCTAATGTCGGGCGGCGCGCTGGTCTGTGATAAAACAAAAATAAAAAAAAAAAAAAAAATAGAAAATCGTGAAAAAAAAGAAACAAAAAGTCGCGGGCGCGTATTGTATTTTTTGTAAGGCTCGTTCGTGCCAGATTTGTGATAGCCAAGTCCGCGGCATCCTCGATTAAATGGACGATGATGATGGGCCGGCGTGCCACCGGCGCGAGGGAAACAAAATGTCGAATTAGACAGAGCGTTGGACGAAAGATGGACGAGGGATCGCTTGAGTTCTTTTAACTCGTGACGATTTTCTTTTACAAAGAAGAATAAAAAACGAGAAGAAGTCGGAAAAACAAGAATCTCTCTACTTTGTGATCTGACGATTTTATCTCGTTCTTGACTAAATTTTTATTTTTGATCATTTGAAGTGGAATTGTTGCAGTTAAAGGAGAATATTGTAATCGGTATTGTGAAAAGTATGGAGTTTGTAGGAAGAAAGGCTTTGAACGTTTCAAAATTCAAAGTCTCAACAGGTAACACTATAGAGTTAAATTTACTAATTTCGTAAAATTATTAACTTCGTTAAACAATTGGTCTTTTCCCTTTGATGTCGTATCGTCTAATGTATTTTATATATATACATAATTGACATGTAACATATAAAGTTCACCCGATCCGACTGCATCAAACTCGTACTTTTCACTACTTAAAATTTCCTTTATCTTAAGAAAAATGTTGAAATATTGCTTTTCAACGAATGAAATATCGAAGCGAGGTAAAATCGAAGTATCGCCGATGAATAAAGAAGTTTCAGTCGAGAGAAATAGAAAAAGAGAGAAGAGAATCGTCACGGAGAAAACAAGTCGACGTGCTTTCCAGTCGGTGAGACTGACATGCGAGGAAGCCTAAGTTTAGTAATTGTAAGCAGCATGCCGCGTTCCGCGTTACTTAAAAAAAAAAAAAAAAAAAAAAAAAAGAAAAGGAAAAAGAAAAAAAAACGCCGCGAGAAACGATATTAAATTTGAGGATTTTGGTGCGTGTACGTGGTGGGTGTATGTACATGTGTGCGTGAGCGCGTGTATTGTTGTTGAATCCTGGTGTCCACGATGCCAAAGATGTAAGTCATGTAATAAAGTTGTGGCTAAGGTACTATGGTAACGTCAATGATAACGATGAAACAACGGTGATAATCGTTATTGCTATCTTGTAACGTTTAATGTATATCAGTGTCGTGCAAAAAAAAAAAAAAAAAAATTGAGCGGCTGAGCTCCTCGGTGTTGTGGGTATACATACTCGTTCCTAGCAACTCGTATGACAATTACTACTCGAATACACTACTCATAACATTGCATTGATCTACTTTACTCTACGTACTTCAAAGATAAATAAATACATTCTGTCCAATCTCAACATTACCGGCGTTCAATTGTTTTCTCCACGCAACCTCTCTAGGTAAGATGCGAATTCTTTTCATTTCCCCCTCTTTTATTTTTTTTTTAATTCGAGCATATAGAACCTAAAAGAACACAAGGTATCTGTATTTGAGAATCTGCAACATAATTTTATTTCTCCAGCATTGACGAAGAGAAGACACGGAATGAGAAAAATCAATATAAAAGAAGCAATTACTTTATTACTTTCTCAACGATTTCATACAAATTTCAGATACATTTTTTTTTTCTTTTTTTATATATATTTTACAATTTCACATTTAATATACCTCGTATTTTGGACTGTGCATTTTCAACGTACGTTCTTAGATACGTTCCGATACATCAAGCAACAATAGCGTGTATCCGCTATTCTTGTCAATATTCGCTTCAATATGTCATGGTACGGAGTATTTTAAATCTATTTAATCTCTGAACAAACGCCACCAGTTTTATTGTACACAAACTCTTTATTCCTTTTCCACCCTTGTTCCCACTTTTTTTTTATCTCGCCCACTTTTCTTTCTCGTTCGTATTCGTTGAAACGCATCTTTCACGCGTTCGCGCATAGAACTTCACGTAACGCTGAATATCATTTGAGAAATAGAAAATCAAAAGAACAGGTGCGATGACGAGAAATATCCCGTTACAACTTCTCTTCTTAACAACGTAATAATTATAGCAGAAGCTGCTTTACAATCGAATTGAGATTCATCGTTCCATTTCCTCAGACAGAAAATTCGAGATTCGTTATTATTCGCTATCGCTATTGCTGCACGTCGGGCAAATGCTTTCTCTTTCCCGGTATTTTTTATTGTAAAATGACAAAAACCAAAACGTGTACCGTTCCGCTACAAACAGTTTCATGTGATCCAGTCTATATTGGTTTTCGTTCCTTTTTTTTTATGCTTTTTTATTTGCTTTTATAATATTTTTTTTAATCTTTTCTTTGCTTTCTTTTTATTCCGGTTGAAATCTATTCAAGATTCGACAAAAATCGGTACCGCGACGCAATTCGAGTGTTGTGTCAAATTTTTACTAAAACGAAAACGAATTCCAAAACTATGTAAATCTTTTGATCCCTTTTGACGATGTAGATTCCATTTATATCGATTGCTTTAAAATTAATTCTTTTGTAAAACAGTTGATTATCGATCACAATTTCTAATGCTTTTGAAACTATGCAGGTTTTTTTCAATTGGTGATCTGGAGAATTAGTAATTGTATATACTATAATAACTGCGATACTATACCAATGAATTGTACAATAAACATATTTTAAGACTTTATAGAGAGCTAGTAAGGATTGTACAATTTTCCTACAGATAACACTATTATCCGTGATATGATTTTTAAATATTTTATTTTGCTTTTTCAAGCAAATGATATGTTTTTATTCGCGATATAATATTAAAACACTTTCGGAACGGATAAAAGTATGTAGCGCTTACGACATTGGTCTCACTATGGAGCAAGTAGTTTCAGCGCTCTTATGGTCAGACGCGACGCATTCAAATGGAGAATTCACTTCTTTATTTTACTGGAGAATTCACACTTATTTCTATTTTTGCTGAGAATAAGAATGGGTTAAACGAATCATGAGTGTGCCTCATCTTTAAACGAATATTTAATATTTAATAAAGACATAGATTAAATGTTTAATCAAGCTTGGGAAATAGATAATTCAACTTCTTTATTTCTATTTGTTTTATTTCTATTACTTTTTCATCTTTTTCCATCCTATATTTTTATTCTCGTAAAACAAATGTTGACTTGCATAGTTTTAAAAACACCAAGGTGGCAGCAGTTACTGAATCACCCTGTATAATGTTTATTCAGCAAACAACTAATGGACGGAAATGAAAGACAAGGTAAACTGCATAATTCAATTCTACTAGATTGTTTCCATTGGCTACTGAACCGAGTCAAAAGTTTGTTTGCGTTAAATAATCCACTGGAATAAGCAGCGCTTATAATAATTAAACTAATATTTATTTGGATAATTCTCTAAAGTCGAAGAATACGTTTCGTGATCTTTTAAAATATTAAAAATTCTATTTAATCTTTTATAATCTTTTATAATAAAATTATCTCCCGCACTAAAAAATTACGATAAAAAAGGCAAAAAGTAAAAATTACAACAAATCTTTTCAAACAATGAAATCTTTTCAATCAACTGACAAATTGATACAGTTCACCCGATATTTTTTACTTTCTTTTCTTTTCTTCTTTTTGTAATGGAAATCATATCCGTTAACAAATTGAATAATTTCAAAAACTGTGTTCACGATAATCTGTCTAAACACTCGAATAGCGAACGCATTCACACATACACTGTGTGCGTTTGTGTGTATGTGACTATTTATGAAATGTGACTAGCTTAAAATTATGATTATATGATCGGTATCTATTGTCATAAACAACGGTGAACATTTACTAAATCCGTTGTATATTCTTCACTGTACACGTTTCTTTTTTTTTTCTTTTTTTCTTTTTTTCATTGGAAACCAATTACACTGTGCAATATTAAGCATGTGATTGTACAATCGTAACTGTGCGCAAATACCTCCATTTTTCTGAACCACGTCTACACACAGAAGTTAGAAATCTTTCAAATACATAACAATTGCTAGTAGAAATACATAGTATGTAGGTATGTAGTATACAGGATGTTTCAGAATAAACGTCACGCGAAATAGTTGCTAAACGAAACTTTTTTATTATTTCTCTGCAACGGAGGCTGTTCTGTCCTTATCATTTTTGAACTTACTGAAAAATTATTTCAGTAGGTATTCTTTGTTTGTATAACGGTCTAATTTTTATCAGAATTTTCTTTGTTATTTTTACGATCAGAGGCTAATCATTGTTTCCACTTTTCGTTTAACAACTACTGCGTTTTGCACGACCCTTATTTCAAAGCATTCCTTGAAAAGGGATCTAAAAATTCTTCAAAAAATACGATCAGTATGATACTTTCTTGCGTTGAAATTGGAATGCTCAAAATGCTAACTAAAATGTTTCTGTTGTAATGCGCTCGAAATTTGCAAAAATTTTTATAAAAAAACGATTTTGGAAGATTCTTCTGCATCAACGTTTCTTTTCAAAACTAAACTAACTCAAATATAAGTTTTCATACAAAATTTTAGATTTCAATGAGAAATTATCTAAATGAGGAAAATCTGACAATTTCCAGGAAAGAAACGTAACTATGACTTTAATTCTAAATCAAAATCTAAATTATTACATTTTCTTGCTATAAGTAAGAAGAAAACATTTTTCAAAGTCTGTCTCATTAAAATTCCTACGTTTTAGCTAAAATCGATTATCATTGACATGATAATATAGTTATGAAACTACTAACTATATGAACAAATTTAATTTCCTAAAATTCCTCATATGGGTTAATATAGCCTTCGAACAGACTCTAGAAGCCAAATTATCTTTAATGCAATCTCTTTCTTCGTGGGGGATTTCGTATTATATTTTACAGATAAAATATTTATTTACGATTTAGCAATTGCGGCAGTGTCGAAAATTACTATTGATTAATAACAATTATCTATGGATTTCGGAGCTGTCCAACTAAAACTGCATTTCAAGGTACAATCGTTTATAGTCATTCTCATTTATATACGGACGATATATGTATATACATTTACATATAGTTTTTAAAACGTTCTGCTTTCTTTAATATTTAAATTCAACAATTCCATTGTTAAAATTCTATTTCCATTTATCGTTTAATATATAATAATTTCTTTCATTTTCCTCTTTTTTTTCTTCTTCCTTTGGCACCTACGTGAACAGAAAATCTAGAGAAACCTCACGAGGCAAAAGTTGGACAGCCTTGCATTAGATTCTAATCTAAATTGCGAACAATATCATTTCTCTTTCCCCTTTATAAAATGTTCCTCTCTTGAATCGATCAGAAACCACTGGAAATTGATTTAATATCGGTGTCTGTCTATTACACAGATACTTAATAAATCATGTTTGTTTTCAATGTTAAAAAATCAAATTAAATGCTATACATATAACAATTAGCAAATAGCAATTTAAAAGATATAGCGTTAAAGAATGATTGCGTAATTACGTTATTTGATGCACAGTCTTGACTTAAACAATATATATGTATAACATATCATTTAGATACATGAACTTCTAGTTAAATTGCACTGAATGTCTCGATAGTAACTGCGCATTAACGACTACTTAATAAATGCAATAAAGATGCAAATGTAATGAGTACAATTTGATAAGGTAACAATAAGACTTTAAGTTAGAAAATGTTAGTATGTTATCGCTCGGCACATTCAAACGTAAATCACTTTTCCGATAGTGAGTCATTCTGCAAGAAATCGCTTTTCTACTATAATCATCGTCGTCTTTTATGCTTCACGACGTTCGTTAACGGTAGTTTCAAGAAACAAATTCATATAAAAATTGAACGACTCGAAGATTGATTCAACTTCTGCATCGTTACATAAATTAATTTTTATCGCACATTTCAAGCAGATACTTAAAGCAGAAAATTAAAACTATTGTAGAAATAGTTTCTTAAAATTATGAAAGAATATAGTGAGCTAACAAAATGTCGACGGTGAATGACTCTGATACGTTTCAATGTAGAATAAACTATATGTTAAACTATATATTGTAATACATACCTTTAAGACAATTACAATAACACATTTTATGACAAATAATTTATATATATATATATATATATATATATATATATATATATAAAAGAAGGAAGTATCTTCGAGTGCAAATTAATAAAAAAATAATAATATGGGTATTTAAATGTTCATTGTGAATACGTACTAACTATAGTCGAACCTTTAACTCTTCCATTCTTTGCCGTATTCTTCGTCGCATCTCCTTGTATCTATAAATTGAAATAATAACAATAACAAAAAAAAAGATGAGTTACACTGTATGGGTAAAATTGATAATTATATTGATATTACATAACTATAAATCTTTAGAAAAAACATACTTTTCCTTCAGGAGAAGAATCTGACGCTCTTCTTCGTAATAATAACGCTGCAATATACCGTGACACTCTGCCAGAGAAAGATTAAGAAACTGTGCAACATCAGAGCTGATCTCCGGAGTCGACAATCTATCCACTAAGAAAAGTCGCGCGACATTTTCATGCGGACCTAACACTACGCGAACCTCCAACGGATATTCGTCATCTCTTAATCTTCTTTGCTCTATAAAAAGGAAAATTATCCTTCTCAAGTAATGATAAACTAAATAAGTAGATTTATGTTCCCTAAAGTCTTTTAACTCACCGCCATTATCGCGGACCACAAACAACGCAAAATTATCTGGCTTAGCATCAACTTTGTATTTATCCAACATGAGATTGATAACTTCCTGAGTATTTACTAGACTTGTAATCCAAACGGACATTTGAGATCCATGGGGTGGTGTGAAAAAACTGGTTTCACGATTATAAAAATGTCCGTTAATTGAACAACGACGTCGCAATCGACTACGTGATTGTCGTCGACCGCCTGGGCGACGTCTAATTGCGGTGGATCCTTGTTTTCGTCGTAAAACTACGCCGTCCAGCTAAATCATATTATAAACATGCATATATACAGAAAACAATAAATACAAATTATTTAATTGTCAAATACCTCTAATCCACTGTCAGTGGACATTGTCATGTTATCATCCTCTCTAAAATGTAAAGAATTTACAGAATCTGTATCGCTATCGGTTCGATGTCTTTGAAGGCAATCAGGTCCGGACATCGAACGGTTTAAGCCTTTCTCTATCCAACTATCATCGGTGCTAATAGATCTATTGCCAGACATATTTTTCTCCAAGCTGTCGAAGTACTCTACCCTTCGAAGTGTACCGTTTCGATTTGGAGTGCCATGATAAACAGGTGTATCAGTACTGGAAGAGCTACCTATACTATGCGTTGGTGTACTGGTTACACTGCTATCGTTTCCGCGATTTCCTTGATGATTCGGACTGTCCGCCTCTGAATTTTCGCGAGAATCAGATCTATCAAGACTGGACTGAGAGGAAAGAGGCAGTGCGTCGGAACTGGTTTGCGAACTAATCGATGGCAAGTTTTCAGGCATTGTTTGGTATAATTTTTTCCCATCTTCGACTTTACGTTCAACCTAGACAATCCAAAAAAGAATAAATAAGTGAAATGTGACAAAAATATTTCGTAATCGGATGTTTCAATAATTGATATTACCTGAAGAAGTTCATCCAGTTCATCCCACTCCATATTTTTTACATCTAGCTTCATTGGTAAAGTAATGCTTTTAAGATGATCAGGAGAAGTTGGAACAGATTTTGTTTCAGTTTCTGCATCCTGTTCACAAGATTCTTTTACGCAATCTTCTTCTTTTTCGTCATCTTCTATGCTCTATTTTAAAAATTTACAAGATATACAAACATATTAAATATTTTAAATACATCTTTTTTCATAAAAAAAAAAAAAAAAAAAATATGTACACACATCAGAAACACTTCGTCTGCACGAATTTCTATTACGTGCTGTAACTACTGTACGTTGATCGTCATCTTCTTTTAAATGAATCACTCCTCTGACACCCCAATAAATGCGAAGTGCACCTTCTAGTATCAATCTTCCATTAACCTTTGAAAAATTAATATTAATTATCCAATTCTCTTATATCTTTTCAAGTTCAAATAAAATATAAAGTTTTTTGTTACCTCGCGACTTCTTATTCCACCACTTTTGCCTTCATAATACTGATTGAAAACTTTCAACTTTGATTCTAAATGTGATCTAGACATAAGAGACAAACAAACAGTTAATCTAATAGTATTTTTAACACTGTATCGTGAAATAGAACATATTATTTTGAATTTTATACCTGGGTAGTGATGGTCTAGCTTCTTTTTTTCCAAAACTTGTATGTGACTCAACTCTTGTTCCATGACCAAATAACTGTGGTCCAAACAGAGCTCCATAACATGGTACATGACAATATGGTACGCCTTTATGCTACGTAATGATTAAAAAAAAAATAGATATAAATTTTATTATGTGATTATTAAATAAAAGCTTGTGTAGTAGTATATTAAAAATAATAATAAATATTTATTTTAGTAAAAAATACAATGGTGCACCTCTGCATGTTGGCCTGGATTTAAACGTTTCCCACATTCCTCACATCGTAAACATTCTGGATGCCAGTCATATCCCAGTGATTGCTTGCGTTCGGCTGAAGTTCAAAATATTTAGTAAAAGACAAAGAAATATATTTATGGTATATTTCTGCGAAATAAATCAATTCTATATTCAATTAAAATTCCATTGATTATTTAATAAACATATTTTTCTAACTAATTAAATAACATGTATTTTATTTTTAAATAGTAAATTATTAATTTAGAAATTGGCACGTTTAAATATTTACCCAAATTGGTAAATAAACTACATAAATAAATTTTCATTCTCATCCACTGTTTTTTTAAATATTTAAAATGTTAAAATCATCATATTACAACAATAAACAATTAATTTTTTAATTATAAAAATCATTGCTTGATTAACGACAAAGAACTCGATTAAAAAACAGAAAAATAATAGTAAAATAATATTTTCTGTAAAAAAAAGTATATAAGTAACACCACGTTCATGCAAATAGGAAATTAATCAATTCATTGTAATGACAGGAAACGGTACTTGTCAAAATTAGTACGCCTTTTTAATATATGCGAAGATTGAAACTAACCAAAGTATACGGGTTTTCCACATTTATGGCACTTCCACATGACGGTGAACTCTTGTGATATCCATAAAATGATAGAAATAAATTCTTACGAGATTCTAATCCATTTTGTTTATACTATATGAATAAGCGCATTGAAAATGACATGCGGGTTAATTGGAGATGTTACTAGTAAGGCAACCTTTGCTGAATAATGAATAATTCCTCCTCGGGTTCGAAAACTTATCAAGCACTTGACTTACATTTGCTAGAATCATAGTGTAAAATAGAAAGGAAACTACGAACTGATCTTACACAATTCATTCATGAATATTTATTAAAAAATAAATATTCTGAATAAATCTTATTCCGTTAGTCTAGATTTATTGTGATAATATGATATTTTTTGTTGAAGAAGATTATTCAAATTCATAATCATACAAATAAATATTATCCTTTACGTTTATTTCATGAAAACAACCATAGTGGCGCGCTTAAATTCAACGGAAATTCAGAAATATCCCGGCTTTTTGAGACGAAAAGTTTATATCATTTTCGTTCTTTGATGTTCAAAAAGTTAAAACGTTAAAAATATATGAGACATTTATTTGAAAGTTTGATTACGTTCAGTTTATTGGCAAGAATTTCGAGTTGCAAGAATTTGCGAAATTTCATTAACAAAGTGAAGGTTAACCGTCACAAGTAAACAAAATGATGCAGATGAATAAAAAAGGATATAAAGAATTGCTGATGCAGAGAATGTTCTTAGCTATTATCTCCAGCATAACGGTACAATTCTTACTTGTGACTTTTTTACTTTTAATTACGAATTTGAACATGGATTATAACACATGGATTCAAAACACATGGATAGCGGTAACCTCCTCTCAAATGTGGAGTTATTTCTGCGTTCTTGCCACCATTACATTCTTTCAAGGAATTATTTGTATCAAAAATTACTCAAATATGCCATCCTACTCAAAGAGTAGGTTCATTAAATTTTGTGGTATATTCACATCTCAAAATATTTTAATGGGTATTCTGCATATCACCATCGGTGGCCTTCTTGCTGGGTTGCATTTATCAATCAAAGGAAGAAAATATAGATTTTTAATGTCAGAATGTAGCGTAATCTATGGAACATGTTTGATGGAAGAACATTACTTTTTACTGTTAAGCGGATTTTGGAGTGGATTATATTTTTTCTTAAAAACTAGTATCTTTCATATAAAATATTTAAAATTTCCTATCATATCTTCGTCAAAGCTTTTTCGATTTAAGGCAGGAATCAGTTCTTTGCTTCCATCATTGATGGCTCAATGCATATGGCCAACTTTGTATTATTTAATCGGTTATTATTTCTTGGGTCCTTATTGTTGTTCAACAATATTATTTTTAGCATCTGCACAATTAGAAAGTGAACCATTGAGTAACATTCCTAGTTTGTTGAATTTGTCATTGATTTTCCAGTTGTGGTTATACCAACTGATATTTATATTGGCAATTGACAGCATGTATTTAATGTTTGAAATATATTTGACAGAATGGGTTTCTTTTGACTTCAAACAAAGCAGTGTATTTAATATTGATGAATCTGGAATGACGCTTCCTGAAATATTATCTATAGATAAAGTGCCAATAATGCAACACTTAGGCTACTTAGACTTAGTTACAATAACGCAGAAAGATAAAGCTAGAAGAAGTGTCTTATTCACATTGAGTCAACCTGGAGGTCATCCTTACAATTGGAACTGTGTTGTGGAAAAATGTACTAGTCTCATCAAGAAATTTTCTGATGATCTTAATGCGTGCATTAAACCTCAGGAACCAAAGCTATCTCTTTGTGCTCCGAGTTCAACAATAACAGACATTAGTGTATTTCAAAAACAATATATATATCATATGCGCAATTTAATAAAAGAAGAGATACCAATTTGTACAGAACAAAGTGATATGAAAAAGGATGTTGACAGTGAACTATACATCCAAAAGTTCATAAAAACAAAGTGGAATAATTTTCTTACATATTTACTTTCTAAACGACTTATTGCATATATCTTTGGCGAAATAGAAGGTGGAAAAGTATGTCATATTTTATTTAATGGACAAACAGTAATTTGGGCTGCAGATGCAATTTCATCTCTGGCTGTGTTGTCTTTAAATGAAGATTCTTATGGAATTGCTCAAAAAGATTTATCACTCATAATCAATACCTTACTTACATTAAAGCAAATTCTTGATAAATTACAAAGAACAAATCTTATGACAAAGAAACAATATGGAGATGATAAATTCATTAAACAAATTTTTCATTCTTTACGTGCAGCAGCAAAAAGAAGTCTTTACAGAATTGTTACAAATTTTGAAATTTATATAGGAGATTTAGAACTAGAAACAACAACAATAGAACAATTACACAGTTTCCTTGCTTATAGAGAATAAATTTTCATCATTTAATAGCAAAATTTGGTGTATATATATTTATAAATACTTTCTACTTGTATCTAAATGATACTTTCAATATATGTTACAAATATTGTAAGATTATTTTTTGTAATTGTTATATTGATATACAGGAACAAACTATACTTGTGATTAATACATAGCTTTTTTTTACTTAACTTTACTAAATGTAGATTATTGTAAAAAATTAATTATACATTTAAAATTCTAAATGTACTAACATAATTAAGTTTGTAAGATATTGCAATAAATTGATTATTTTTCAAACATCTGTAATTATTTCAATGTACTTCCAAAAAATATGTTGTAATTGTATTAAAAAAATATAAATTATGTGAAACAACACACCATTTTAATTACAATAAAATTGTATATTACAATATATTACATTTTCTTCAAAGCTTGTACTACAGTTAAATTATAAAACAATTTATCTCTTAATAAAAACCAAGTTTTTGACTGTATTTCTTGTAATATATTTAAGTAATCTCTTAATGATTCATTTTCTGTTATTGCTGTTCCGTGCCATTTTAAAAATACAGCTAAGTAAGTTTGTATTAATTCAAAATCTATTTTCTTTTCCATCATGTGATGTATCATTTTCATAAAACGAAGTAATAAAATATTGGATGTTTTTTCATCTGCTGAAAGTGATTGAATCTCGAAATCGATTGAACTAGGGCTCATGGACTTCAATTTTTCTATAATTTCTTCAAACTGAACATCTTCAATGGACAGTAACAATTTACTAAATGATGTCAGATTTTGCAATTCAGGATGTGTAATCATTTTCTTATTGGTCTCTGTATTATTAACATCCGTAAAGTCAAACTTCAATTCTAAGGATGGAATCGTAGGTAAAAAGAAAGGAGCATTTTCTGATGCCTTAGGCGGTTCTTTCGGTTTGTTCCTTTTTCTTACGATATCGATATTTAATAGATTTTGCCATTTCGAATGAGCTAAATCAGACATTGTAATAAGATCGTCCTGAAGTTGCGCCGGTGAAATATAATTTAACTCAGCTTCAATAAGTTCATCTTCCTGAATATCACTATCTTCTATTGTTGAACCAGGAAGACCAATCATTGGAATTGGATCGTCTTTGTTCACTGCTTTCAAAGAAATATGGGAATATAATGTGCGATTTGACCATAAATATATACCCAAATTACACACATGTGTTGTAGCAAGAAATTCTCCAGTAGGAGAAAAATGTAACGATGTGCATGCTTCTGGAATCTAAAATATTATATTCAATCAATATCTTAAAATTAGATTAATTTTTAAGTTTCGCTAACATATCATATTACATTAATAGTATATATCGATAGAAGCATATACCTGGAAAATATCTATCAAATTAGAAGAAGGAATATCCCATGTTCGAATTGTACAATCCATAGATGCCGTTATTAACCATCTAGAATCGGGACTAAAACATGCGTCTGTTAATTGTCCTTTATGTCCTTCAAAACGTCGAACGATTCTTCTAGTATCAATATCTAATAGTATAATAGAAAAATCTTCCAATGCTATAGCTATAAGAGAACTTTCATTATGATACCGTAACCATTCAACTGGTTCATCCAGTGTCATCTTTGCTAATGGTTCTGGAAATTATAATATGTAATTAGTTACATTTTAATATATGTATTAATGAAATACAGCATTTTTTTTTTTTTTTTTTACCTATTTTGGGTTTAAAACTCCAAAATTTTATAAATGCATCTCTTCCAGCAGTGATTACAATTTGATTTAAAGACTCTACCATTACACCTTTTACAGGACCTTGATGTGCTCCTTTATCAGTACCATAACTAGCTCTGTGAAGTCCTGATTGCATATTAAATCTTTCTACATGACCATTATTATATCCAATAACAACAAAATTTCCACATTTTGTTATGCATACACTGGTTGCTACAATATTTCGATTACTTTTAAATTTTTCTGGGAGTAACTTGTGTTCTCCCATCCTTGACTTATCAGAAGACCATGTAGTGACTGTACCCAAACCAGAATGTATTGCTGCAATGTTATCCCATTCTTTTTCTCTTGTTATTTCTGTAGCAAAATCAGTAATTGGTGGCATTAATAAAGAATCTTCAACAAGTCTTCCTTTTTTCTTTGCAGCTTTTCTATTGAACGATGCTTTTCCAAGGCTTTTGTTTAATATTTCTGTGATTGTAGAAAATTTCCTCAAAGAAGAATCACTTCCAGCTGTTAATATGTTGTCACCTTTATTTCCATAAAAACGGATAAGAGTAGGAGGCTCTGAATGAGCTTCCCTAATTCTTAGAAGTCTTCCAGCTCCGTCAGCTAAATCAAATATCCATAACTTTAAGGAATTGTCTGGGGACGAAGATACTAAAAGTGGTTCATTGGGTAAATATTTTAACCCTGTCACAGCCCCAAAATGAGCTTTATATAATTGGCTTTCTACTTTACGTTGCTCTAAATTCCAAAATACAATATGACCTTCTAAACTTCCTGTAGCCATGATTGGATATTCATCTGTTCTGAAGCTAATGGATATTACACAACCCCAATCTTGCACTAATTCAAAAATTGTTTCATCTACCTTTAAATTGTGTAATATAATTCTTCCATCGCTTAAACCTATTGCTGCAACATCTATTGCAGGTGCTTGTTCAAGTGCAGTTACTGGTGTATTCCAGCCTTTAAATGTATAAATTGATTTTAATACTTTCAAATTCCACAATTGTAATTGACCTTGTTCACTTCCAAGTAATATCTTGTTCATGTATGTAAAAGGATGTATTAATGTTGTAATTTTAAAATGATTATTGTTGAAAGTAAGCTCAGTTACTAGCTCTTCTGTTTTAATATTCCAGACTTTAACATTGCTATTTTCATCAATAGATATTAAGTGTTGGCCGAAAGGTAGCAGAGTATGCACTGTGCAATCGTGACCTTTATAAACGTGCTTTATTTCTGTCCCTCTTCGCCAAGCATATATTTCTTTTCCACATGCTGTATAAATGTGATAAACGTCTCCTGCGAGACTTGTAATTTCACCTGGATGCGTGCCTGATACGCTGAGAAGCGTAAAATGTGAACAACCGTATGTATGAAATGAATTACCGACACATGTTACTATAAGATTTTCCTTCCGCCTTTTAATATATCTTGTTACGAGAGGAATGTGATTACTGACATATCCTAATGCGCGATTTTTTAAAAATATTTTACTATGTCCCATTGTCTTTTTTTCACTTTATGTCAAAAATAATGTTTATACTTGAAAAGTAAGGTTAGAATACACAACCATCACTTCTTAACATCATATTCATGAGTGCGTCCATGTTAGAAAGCATGAACTATGTTCTTGCTTATTCTTATTAAGAGTGCATTGAGACCAGATTTTTAGTTCTCGTATATTTTAAATTGTTAGATTTCATCCTCCCACATAATAAAATGTTAATTAAATCTCGTTGTAATATACAAAATTAAGAAATTAATGAAAATTGTAAAATAAAAAATTTGAATTGTAGTACAATTTCTTATTTATTTGAAACAATCAAGAACACTACATACTTTCATATTTTTATTACAGGAATGATTTAATAATTTTTGAAAAGTTATTTTGTACCATCTTTAAATTTTTTGTTAACAGACACATAAATAATAATTAATTTATTAAATTAAATTTTAAGGTTTCATCTAGATAAGAGATAGAGTAGAAAAAATATCATTAATACTAAGTATTTTTTTAATAATTTCATTTTAATTATCTGTCATTTTCACAGGTTCATATAAATTATTTATACGCTAATATACATATATATGTATAAAACATAGCATCTATTCCACAAAACCAAATTTTGTTTTTTACAACAAATATATGATGTCACCGAATGTTAAATACAGTTTAATAACAAATATGATTATAATCAAGTAAAATCATATATAGTTTGAAAACAATTGTAGATTAGTATCTTTCAAATATTACAATATAAAATATAACTATTAAATTACAATTAATAACACTTAGATAATATTATCTACAAATTTGAAAGGAAACGATCATATTGATATGTGGTATACAAATAAATACTGTACTATATATGCTTAAAATTTATACATTGTATAAATAATATAAATATATATCACATAAATTGAAAACAAAGTACATAATTGACTAGTTGAATAGTAATTAATTGAATATTATATTATTAATTTCGATTATTTAATTATTTACAAATGAATGGGATATCTATTTCTTATATAATTTTTACATCCACGAATAAGATTTTTCTTAGCGTACTTTTTTTTTTATTAATGAATTATGAAAATGTTGATGCAACATTAAATTTAAGACGATTTATTTCGTATGAAAGTGTTTTATGTTCCCATAATTATCATGTACTTGCAGTTTCCGTTTTGTATTATCTATCAGAATTATTAAATTTCCCCTATTTCAATGATGAAAGATTGTAAAATTAATTTCATTCTTGATTTATTTGAATAACTTGGATTTTTGTTCTTTTATTAAATTAAACGATTATAGATATAATAATTTAGAAATAATTTTAATTCTTTCATATTCGGTAGTATTATCTCAGTAATATTACAAGAACATAAAACACAATGTTCTTTTTTTACAAATGTTTTACAAGTAGCACTTACACAAAATTCTACTTAGCTAAATGGTTTTTTACAGTTTATGTGTGACGCTCTTTCTTTTCACTTAAAAAAAAAAAAAAAAAACAAATTCTATTAATCAGAAAAATTATATTCATTATCGAACAAAAGCTAACATACTCAATGTATTGCACAGATATAAAAATCATACAAAACTATAATTAATAAAGTAACCATTCAACCAAACGATTCTTTAAGAATTACAAAGATCTATCTATTGATCTTACGAGAAAAAACAAGTAATCTTTTGTTTATAATTTTGCAGTCTTTAGCTACAGGTTTCAAAAACTTTTTCCGATCTCTAGTTCCTGATATCTGGTTGGGAAAATCGGAAGAGTTTTGGAAAACCATTTTCACGCGATACTGTCGTCATTTATCGGGAAATCTCAGTTTGTGTGACCTTTCATTTGATACATGTCAACCAACAAACGAGAAATCGGAATTTCGCCTATAGTTTCGTGAAAAAACAAACGTTCGACCAGTTTTGGGAAAATGGATGTTAAACGTCCGACAACGTGCATTAATGTCCCGCTTCTACCCGGTTGTCGTTGATAACGAGATTTCGTGTAATCTCCTAGGATGCATTGAGCCTGATCTTGTAACATTTTGATCGACTCACTGGCATGAAGACCCTCCGTTTCTAACGAAGATAATATATCAATAAAAAATATAGCAACGGGGATCTATATCCTAGTTGCTAATTTTTTCAAAACCGAAATTTCTTATTACCTGGAGTAAAGAGTGCTACCGCTTTCATACATCCCCATTCACTCATGTCTGGAGAGAGTTGCTTAAAACGGCATATTGTGTCCTGAAAATATTCCATATTTAATTTTATTTATAACACATCTGTCTTTATTTCTATATTTTAGAGCTATAATATTATATGGTATTATATTATATTATTATATGGTATTATATTTTTTTTGCGATGAAGTCTTTTACCTGAATAGTAATTAATTGTTGATTTGTTGTAGCTTCGTCTGGCAATCTTGCTCGTACCTGTTCATCTTCCAATAAGCCGGTAATATTCCAAGACATGGACCACTGTGCCAGATGAAGGAGAAAAAGTTGTGTCCAGGAACCTTCGAGTAACAATAATTGATCGTTCTTCGAAAGCGATTGGAACAGGGGTAAGCAACAAACCCATCTTACTGCCATAAATAGTAAACGTGCGGTGGTTTCCTAAAATATATTAATTAGTTTTGTCTTTCGATTGAAATTCCTGATTAATCTGTTATACCAGTTAATTATTTTTAATATTTAGAATATATAAAAAAATAGAATATTCAATTGAATGTTATAAATATTTCGGGATTTTTAATATAATTACCTGTAATAGTTCTCGCGTGGGATTGAGATTTGATAAAGTTCCTGTGGAATTATGACTAGCTTCTGTTTGTTCCAAAGAGTATTCTGTTTCCGATTGTAATGGCGCGTTCCATACGAGTTCCTTATATGAGATAAAAATATATTTAAAAGTCTAGTAGCCACTTAGTAACCAATAATATTCGAAAAACTACAATAATTCTCTCTAAGAGAAATCCGCAATTATTTTTATTATTACTTTTATCGATATCTGTCTTAAAAAATTGGACAGTAAATATCGTCTTTCATTTTTTCAACATTTACCTTAATTTTAATCGAAATCGTAATGAATGAAACAAATCTCTATCTAGATTCCAAATTTCTTCGATAAAAGTTCATAAAAATCTAAATTTGCACCGTTGGAACATTTCTCTAAATCTCTCAACCAAAAACAAAACAAAAAATTAACTTCAAGGGTCATAAATTGCCCCCCCCCCCCAAAAAAAGAACAAAGGGTGTAAATCCGAAACCAGGTACAGACTATTCGTCAAGACAATGTCCAGGATCGCTCAGTTTCAGGCGTGTGAAATCGGCAAGATTTGTCGGATTGCCGGTTATAAAGTTTGCAAAGGGGAAACACCAGACTCGAGCAAATTGAGCTGAATTACTTACCTGACACTGCTCCGCGGACATTAGTATCTGAAGAAGGGGTGGCTGCGGTGTCAGGGCGACGCTCGGGGGCGCTGAGTAGAGGGTCGTGGTCGAAGGAGAATGTGGTAGAGCCAATGGTGCCGGGGACGGAGAGTCCTCCGGTGGTTTCTGCACCAGTGCTACTGGCCGTGGATAAGGCGAGAACCTCTGGTCGCACCTGAACTTTCTGCACACATTATCCTTAGCGTCCTTTTGTATGAGTTATCAAGCTCTAATTGCTAACAGTACGGAGTTTACAGTGACGATTTGTTCTCAATTATTTTTTTTAAGTGATGAAAGTTTTTTTAATGTGGGATGAGCGTAAGATGGTTGATTATATGTATGTATATAAAAATATAGGATAAATAATATATATTTTGATAATCTGTATGTGGTAGAATTTAAAAATTGATTTAGGAATATGTGGAATGATTGTCTGATTGTTCTTTTTATTCTTTAATGAGAAATTGAACTATTCTTTCACAAGATTTAGCAATTTCAGTAGTATGAGTCGACGCCGTGTCAGTCACTATGCATCCTCAATAAGCAATAATGTACTACATTAAATTATTAATGATTTTTTTTTTTTATTTGAAATGACACGCATAATACAGATTTACTATGTTTTAAGTATACTTTTGATAAGAACTTTATACACACCTTTGGTGTAATAGAACATAAGGGGACCCAAGACTAGCTCTTAATCGATCATTGTGTAAAGGTGGTGCGATCGGCGATTGTTGTTGCTTTGGCTTCCTTGGACCTCTCTCGTGTTGTACAGCTAAATAACAATTAATAAGGATATGTATTATCTATCTGTTCAATGTTAATTCTTTAACAATTTTCTATAAATTTTTTCGAAACTTCTCTCCTTTTTCTCAAAAATAATAATTGATCTTTAAATCAGTCATTTTAAGTTTTGATCTAGGCTCGTTATTATCAAACACGTAAATAATTTGATTGATTTATGAAGTTGATTGATTTATTCCCAAAATAATCAAGAGCGATCTCTTAATGCTATAAATATCATCTTGAATGGTTCTATTGATGTCACTCAAGTGCTTAATAAGGGGAGCAAAAAAGGCTCGCGGAGGATTGAATGAAACGGGATTCTGAATTCTTTCAAATACGATAAATTATACCTTGAAAGAGTCAGCCACTTAGTGCGCGTAATTTACAGAAATATTTTTACGTTTCTATCGTTTGAGATATCGTCATAAATACATATTATAAATAAGTAGGTTCTTTATTTCCAATACTTCTCAATGTTTTATGAAAGTTTAAAGAAATTTCAGATGAAAAATTCTCTTTAAATAGAAGAGAACCTTTTTTTTGAAAATAAATAGTGTGTTAAAATTACATTACTTAATCAAATGGAAGAAGCATTTATATCCAATCTTTTTTATTAATAACATTGAACAAATGTTTCTCCATTTGAATGTTGATACAATTACGTAGAAAAAAAGACACCAATATCACCCCAAGGAACACCGAACATCGACAAATCAACCTTCATCATCGATTCGTCTTAAAAAGACCTTTCAAATTAAATTCCCGTGCACAGAACTCGGGGGGAGGAGGGGCGAATCCTGTCGCGATTCTTCGCTTCATTTACGCGTCGATATAGGTTTGCGGTTTTACCCCGTGAGATCAAACCGTTTCCCTTAGCTCACCCAAAAAACGAAGAGAATAACCGAACCGACCTCTCGTTCGCCTACGTCCGAGAGAATCACAAATCATCTGGCGATAGAACGGTCCCTCGTTCGATCTCCTGGCGGTTTTTCCTATTAATATCGTCTAAGAATTTAACGGTGGGAGCGAAAAAGTCCACGCAGGTTGCGCGGAATTGAGTTCAGGGGGAGTGGTACTGTTCGAGATGTACGAGCTGTATTTCCGTGGCTAGGCTGCTTGGGGAGGAACACGGTGGTGTAGGTAGATAGGTCGAGCAGCCTGTAGGAGGGTTGAACTCGCCGACTCGGAGCGAAAGAGAGAGAGAAAGACAGAGGAATGGGAGGGTGAATGCGGTGGTTGGCCGGGGCGTCAGCTTCCACTGAGGGGTCTCCTTGTCAAGGCATCGCGAGAAAGGAAAGAGAAAGAGACAGGTGGAATGGAGACTGGATCTCTAGTAGACACAGCCGTTACACACGTTGAAATATGTAGAACGTGTGGATGTATGCGTACGAGGAAAGAGGAAGAGAGGGAGAGAGAGAGAGAGAGAGAGAGAATGGAACTGCAACTGGGTGGCAAGCACATCATCATTAATGAGGCTGAGCGGATAGCAGCCGTGAATTCCCACGTTCGCACTGGCGTCGCAATATCCGCGCTTTATCCGACCTCTCTTTGTGCCATTGGCGGCGTAAGTATCTCTTTTCCTGATCCGCTTGATGACGAGATCGCGTGCATACAGCCTGCAAGGAACGAGCGTAGAAGCAGGTCAGACCTCATCCCTTTTTGTTTTCGTAGCAATTAACGTTGCTCCTGGATCCTTTTCCGTGAATATCTTACGTGTTGGAAAACTGCTGCAACCAGTTATGAACAAGTTTGACAATCTTGCGCGTTTGACGTTGAAACTATTAACGGGTGAAATGTGAAAATTGTATCGAAGAGGCTGGAAGAAAATTGAAGAGCAGAGTTCGCGGAATGTTGATGTACTATTTACTTAGCAAATTGCGGAATGTTGCGAGAATATACAAGATAATATAGATAAATCTTTATTTAGTATGTTGGTTTTATAATGATATTGATACAAACATCTGCAGCCTACTAATTATAGAAATACCTTTCTCTCTATGTTGCTTAATTAACAGAATGGCTAAGAATCACAGAACGTCCATTAGAAACGAAACGCTCTGTAAACACAAAATACGGTGTGCATGCAATCAGTTAAAAAGTAAGGCAAAGTGAAATCCGCTTCGGGTCTGTTTGCTTTATCGGCTAAATTGGCCGTGCATCGGAACAGGTACAAATATTATTATTTTTCGAGAGTAATAATTGTTTTTTCACCGGAGAATTTTCACTCGGGCGAAAAAACCGGCGAGGGCCGCGAGCTTGTTTGCTTTGTAAGCAAAGATCTTCGCATGCTGCACGCGGTCGAGATATTAGAATATAAAATCCATTTTTGAAAGCCTGTTTTGTTCCTTTTTCTTTCTTTTTTTTCAATTCATTCTTCGTTTCGATTCATCGCGTTGATTTTTATTAACGATAACAATACAATACAATACGAAATCTTTAAATTTTATCATTTATCATTAATACGCGACGTTTTATAATTTGTTTTAGCGTCAGATATTAAAAATGTTTTGAAATACTTCTTCGATTGTATTCAATGAAATATGTATTAACAATCTTCTTGGTCGTTTCAATAGCGTGCGAATCGATTGAATTTGCTTTAAAGGAATCTCTCAGCGTCATTATTAAGAATATCTAACATAATTTAATTAATTTTTCTTTCTGTCAGAAGCGTAAAACTATTACATAGTGCAAAATTACATAGTATTACATAGTACAAACATTACACTGTGCAATATTTAAGAATGTAAAAATTTTCATGAATTGAGTTCATCCAAAATGACTAATTGGAAAGCTAAAGTAATGTTTAACATATCAGTACATATCAATGTTAGTCCTCGTTTATCGACAGTTTTCGATACTTCGTTTTATCAACAAATAACGCAGTGTTAGCGATCTTATCTCGCATGCGCAAAATTATGGAGCGAGTACTTTCTTCGCGTTTTGACAAAGACAACTCTTTTACCAACTCTGTGTTTACGTATTGTCATGCATTAAATAATCACGAAGTAGTTCAAGACTGTATTGATAACCAAATAAATAAAATCCGAATTTCTCCAACAAAGCCAGCAAATCAATTCGCATAACGTGCTCGACGAGACTCGGCAAAATGAATTCCTCGTACGGAAGGATGTGCCAATACAGGTTAAAAATCCATGAACAGCGGTGTCGGACGAGAGATTTATCCGTATGTGGATAAACATCGTTGTTCGTCGCGGAGGAACAGACCCCGAATTTCACCCTCGATGGCCGTGTCTCGACGGATCGGGCGAGCGGACAAGCGGACGAGCGCACGTTCCTCTTAATTCGTCACGACAATTTTTCGTTCGGCCTGAGAGGGAGAGAGGGGGAGGCTTAAGGGGGCGATTTTCGAGTACGTGCGTGCTCGCGATCCGGACGTGGAATGGACGCGGGGATTAGGATCGCATGCGCTGGAATGGACCGCGCCCTGCTCCCTTTTCATCCACCCACTCTCTCTCTCTCTCTCTCTCTCTCTCTCTCTCTCTCTTCGTTTCTCTTCCTTTTTGTTTCCATCTCTGTTGCACGCTCGCCGATCCTACATCCAATGCACACAGAAGCCACACGAGCCAGCGTAATACTCGCGTGCCACGTGTGGTCCACAATGCGAGTTCCCACAGTTGAGTGGCGTTCGGCCTATGTACGCACTACGTCGTCTGGTTAGACCTCGAAAACCTTTGCTCTCTGCCATTCATCGTTAGAAATAAAAGAGAGAACATTGCCCGCGTACGGAGATTTCGGTCGATTCATAGTAACAGCACGGGAATTTGTCTAATTGTAAGTTGACGATGAGTTGGTAATTGGGGTACTTATTATTATTCGGATTACAAATTACCTATTAAAGAACGTGGCGAGTAATATATTTTACTGTTTATTGTATGTAGCGGCTGACAGGAATATTTGAACACTTCTAGAAGCTTTTTACAAATATATATATATGCTATATGAAACATTTTCAAATTTTTCTATTTTAATATAAAATATTCGTCTCGATAATTTCCCATTTACGAACTTGAGCGTAATAGTCTTAAATACTCTGTCTTCAAATTAAATCAGATCAACTAGCAACAAATATTTGTGTTTAGCGAAAAGCAAAATGGACCAGTAATTAAATCAATCAGCCTAGAAAAAACCGGACGAAATGAAATAAAATTCCAGCCCCCGAGAAAGACAGGAAAGAAATCAATCGACCTAAGCTCTTCCGTCCCTCAAGAATTTAAAAGCGTTACTTACCAGTTAACTAATGAAACTAAAACAACAAAGAAAGGAAAAGAAGATAAAGCGGTGAGACAAAAGTGAGACCGATGAAAAAAGCAAATGAGTAAAGAAGCATGAGTGTACGAGTGACAGAAATGGTCGGAAAACGAGCACACGTGAAATTCGACTGCGCACCAACGAGCTATATATGCTTTTCACTGTGTGTGTGTGTGTGTGTTCGTGCGTAGGGTCGGTGCTCACACGGGCCATGGATCACGAGGGCTCACACTCTCTATCCTGCTAAACGGTAAACCGATCTGTGAACATTTCAGCAGTCAGCGATCTCGAAGGCTAATCCTCGAGTGAGTGGGGTTGATACATCGACTACCACCACCACCACCACCACCATCACCACCGGGCCTCGCCTTCACCACCATCAGCATCGCCATCAACGTTTCCGTGCCGTCGAGTTTAGCCGATTGGAGGGACCGAATTCGCGATTCGTGTGTCGGACTCGCGTGTACGACGCGCCCGTACACGTGTTACCACTCCAGAGAGATTCATATGGAGGCTCGCTCTGTATGTGCATGGGGCACACGAGCGTGTGTGGGTGTGTTGCGTCGAACGGACGACGAAAGGGGAGCCGACCCTATGAACCTGTTTTCTGTCTTCTGGAAAATACTATGAATGTTCTAACACGGGCGTGTGTACATAGAAGATTGAAAGATCTCTGTGTGTTTAGAAAGGTTGGAAGATACTGTATTGAAAACGAGTGAT